GGTCGGCGGTTTGACCTTTAACCTCTTTATCCAATAAGGTCATTTGATGGAGTTTCTGTTGACGCCGCTGTTGTTGACGTTCTGCAATTGCTGTTGTTGATGTAACTGAGGTTGTTGAGGTTGAACTAGCTCCCTTGGATTCGACAACCTTTGTTGTGGTCACGTCTGACAGGAAGGCAGTTTTTAACACAACAATACTGTTGTCATTATTTCTATCATCATCATCGTCGTTGTTGTTAGTGTCGTTGGTGTTATTGTTGATGTTGTTCTTAAATGGACTAGTGATATTAATTTTGTTGTTGATGTTTTTGTTGTTGTTTTTGTTGATGCTGGAATGTGGTCTAGGCCTAACAATGTTACTTGCATTGTAATTTTCAATATCATCGAAAGATTCGTTAGTGCAATTAGCATCATCATCATCATCATCATCACCACCATTGCAGTGATGACGACCATTATGACGTAGAGATGATGTAACGATAGTTTTATCATCGTTATCGGGCGAGAAGGCGATGATTGACATATCACAGCAACCATCTAGGACATCTCTGCCAGCACTAACCTCATTAACATCGCATTTATTCACTAACACATTTCTTATCGATCGAGTGTCATTATTATTATTATAAATACCGATACGATTATTTATACCCTCATCGCCAGTATCGGTTTCGGTATCGAGATTAACGATTCGATTGCATACCGAGGTCGTGCCGCGATCGTAGTAGCACTTTTCAACGAATTGAATCGGTTTGTTGAAACCGGTCGGCGGTCGGTATTTATTCGCCTTTCCGTGGTACGTGTTAGGTATTTGCGTGCTACTCCCATTCGCGTTTGAGGTCCTTACGTTACTATGGTTGCATGGCGCTATATTAAACCTAATGAAATCGTCGTTAATTTTAAAGCGATAGTTCGTCATAGCGATGCCGCTATTGTCATCATAACTAGAATCAAAATGGCCGCCTGTGCTACCACTACATCTACTGCTAATAACAGCGCGACCACTACTACTACTTAAGACGTCATCGTCGCCATCCTCTCTGACGTCACTCGTCAGTTTTGACGATGACGGATTGTGTATGACAGACTTGAAAAAGGTTCTGATTGGTCTGAAAAAGCTGTTTTTAAGAGTGTGCTTCGATTTGTTATTATTACTATTATTATTATCATTATTATTTTTATTTTTATTGTCGTTGTCAGCGAAGCGCTGATGATTGTGTTGTTGTCTGAAGTCAATATTATAACTATTATTTCTGTTATTATTATTATGATCATAATATTTAGCGGGGGAGTTTTCAGCGCTCTTGAAGCCTTTCGAAAAAGTCAAAATATTTTTCCTCCTATTTTGAAACACGTTAGCATCGTAAAAATCGTCATAATTATTATTATTATTATTACTATAATTATCGTTATTATTATTATTATTGGAAATGTCTAGATTTGGTCGAGTAAATTTAGCGTTGTTAGTGAAATTGGTCAGGCTGTTTGGGCCCCAGGTTTTACCTTTCACGCCATCTACGGGGTCTGTAAGTTCATATGTATGTATGTGTGTGTGTGTGTATCTGTGTGTTTGTGTATCAGTGTGTGTGTGTGTGTGTGTGTGTGTGTGTGTGTGTGTGTGTGTGTGTGTATCTGTGTATGTATATGTGTGTGTGTGTATTTGTGTGTTTGTGTATCAGTTTGTGTGTGTATCTGTGTATGTATGTGTGTGTGTGTTTGTGTATCAGTGTGTGTTGTGTGTGTATCTGTGTAGGTATGTATGTATGTATGTGTGTGTGTATACGTATGAAAATCTTTGAAGGCACCAGTAAGAGGGAAAAACAAAGCGACTTACATATATAAGTCTTCATCCATCCGCCAGCAGCAACTAACTTATTATTATTATTATTATTATTAATCTCTTCAGCACTGGCAGCACTGACATTAGTGGTGCCAACTCCAACTTTACCATAGCCACAGACCACCATACTATCGCCACCACCACCATTCTTATTGTCAACGCCACTGGTGCCGATGTACCCCTGGCCTGACCTAATTTGGTTATATCGATTAGGGGAGAAAAAAATGGCGGGATTTTGAAATGGGAAAATCTCCTGCTGCTGCTGCTGATGATGCTGTTGAGAGAGAAGATGATGCGAGGGAGAGAGATGAGGATGATGATGGGTGAGGGGATGATGAGGCGATGGCGACACGTAGTGCATTGGCGACTTGAAGATCGTCACATCGCCATTCGAGGACGACGGACTTCGATGTTTCACTGAAATGTTGTGCCTAAAATCTGCCGGATACGGAAGTGAATAAAAATAATAATAATAATAATAACAACTAGAAGAGGAAAGAAAAAAGAGAGAATAGAAGAACGAATAAAAAAGAGAGAAAATAACCATACAGATAGTCAGACAAACCACAAACCCCAAACAAATATGACAAACCAACCCGACGGTTCGGATATATCGACACTACCACTGTTGGCTCCTCCCCCACCGCCACTTGCACCACTCATAGTAAACTTCAACAACTTCAACCTGCTACGCCTGAATCTTCCTCGTCGCTTGTTTATTTTCGGCTGAGTTGATAACGGAGAGAGCTGCAAAATTCAAATTGATTGGTCAATTTGGAATATTTGGTAAGATGTCATTGGTTGTTGGTTGGGAGTTTTGTAAAAAAAGATTGATAAAATGTGAGTGAGTTTGAAATCATGATTGCAAATAAAATGGTTAGTAGAATTTGATTGGATGTTGAAAGATTGATGAGATTTAAATGGCTTTAGACAATGTTTAATTAAACATGGAATTTATATCTAAGCGGACCTGTTGCTGTACAGCTATTGACAGCTCTCTCTCCATCACACTCATCTCCCTCTCCATCAGCTCCTGTTCTCTCTTGACTAATAACTCCTCATGTAGTTTCTGTTGCTGGCATGCTCTCATTAGTTCTTCTTCTCGATTTTTCAGTTCCTAATTTTATTTTTACGAAATTACGAAAGATTAGTGAATGTTTATCGTTAAAAATTAATCAATAAAACGTTTTATCGATGTTAAATGAAAACAATGAATGCACAAACTTCATCTTTGGTCCTCAACTCCACAAACATGGCTTCTATTTCCTGTTTCCAGTTCAGTCTCATACTGCTGAATGACAGATCGGGCGTATTCGTGAAAGATGACTGACTGACGGCCTCTAACTTCAGGAGAATGTTAGTGAATGATGGCCTCAAGTCAGCCTCCGACTCCCAACAAACTTTAAATAATAAAAAAACAATTAATATAAACACATAAATAAATAATAATAATAATAATGGCATGCACCTTTCATTAATTCGGCAAACGGTTGGGGACATGTACTTGGAATGGGAAGGGTCAAACTATTGACCGCAACACCGTAGGCCACTGCCCAGGTGTCGACACCCTTGTACGGCACCTCACCTGTCAGCAGTTCCCAGAGCACCACACCAAAACTTTGGATGTTTGGCATATTGAATTAGATGTAGAAATAAATGTGTGGACAATTTTTCTTGCCTATTTAAAAACAACTCCTTCATTCATTCATTCATTCATTCATTCATTCCTTCATTCACTCAATTACTCCACTAATTAGTCAATAACTAATCAATAAAAGAAAAAAATCTCCTATTCCTAACCTCCAGACGTCACTTTTCTTCGAGTACCTCGAGTGCCTAATCACCTCTGGAGCCATCCAAGCATAGGTACCAGCTGCACTCATTTTAGTGCTAAAACCATCTACCTCTTTTGCCAGGCCAAAGTCAGTAATTTTTAGAACATTAGTGAAGTTAGTCGGGTGATCGGGGTCGTATGGGTGAAGTAGTAGTACTGTGGTGTAATGATTTTAAAAAATTAATTACAATAAAAACAAAAAATATTTACCATAATATTTCCAACAGACCATAGAAAAAAAACCCAGTTAGGTAAAACCTGACAACAACACCCCACTAACTGTTATTAGATTTGAGGTCCCTATGTACAAGTGGTATCGGTGCATATTCGTGCAAATACCTCATCCCTCGAGCCACCTGCTGCATCCAAGCTATGACCAAAAATGCTGGAATCTGTCGACCTACCAGTTTATAACATTTTATAGTATGATTAAAATAGTAATAATTATTTATTTATATGTAATATAACTATAATTTTGGTTACTAATACCATCCTCCTCATCATCATCATCCTCTTACCAGTGATAACTTGTGTAAGAGAGCCACCCCTTGCATATTCCATGACGAGTGACATGTGATTAGGCTCCAAACATACGCCCTAATTCCAAATAAAAAATACGATTAGGGTGATTAGGGGGAAAAAATTAATTATTACTAAAATTTAATCTAGAAAATTTGGGAAAAGATTATTTATCAGCAACATGAATTAGTGAAAAGAAAAAGTTGAGAATTTTATAAACCTTGAGACTAATGATATTTTCATGATCAAGAAGCCAGAATAATTTGGCCTCTTTTTCCACTGTTGATAATGTCTGCTCTCTTGCTAACTTCACCGCCACTTCTTCATCACCGTAGATGCCTCGTAAAACTTTTCCAAACCCACCAACGCCTATAACTTCTTTTAAGGTGATTTCATCAAAGTTTATTAGTTTAGGCTTTAGTACAAAATCACCGTCAGTTGAGAATTTGTCCTGGGGTTCAAATTTAATAGTTAATTTATTTATAAAATTAAAAATCAGTGGTATTAGTGCGCATAGTCATATAATTATGATTTAAATTTTAATTTTGTGATAGTGAATATAGACTTTAACAACATCTAATTTAACTTTTATACCTGACTGACAACAAAGGAAGCAGGGAAAATTCCAACATGCCCATCGATTTCTCCAATCCACCAACCCTCATCTCCAGAAATATGAACATCTTTTGATATCAGCTTCACTTTCTGTCCTTTTGTCAGTTTTAACTCATCCTCTCTAGTGGGTTCGTAGTCAAATATAGTCACCAAATATTGAATTGCCTCGTGAAGTTGAAAATTTTCAGTGGAGAACAATGATGATTTTTCACTTTCGGAGCACTCACTGTTGGATATGGCTGTGGTGCTGCTAATTATTGAGTCTGGACTCATCACAATACTACTCTCCCTAATAATATTACTGTCAGGGTGATAAGATGACGTTGATGCCAAAGATAGTGACTCAAATTCATTGCAGCCAATCATTATTAAAAAAAACACTAGTAATATAAATAAGTTTTTTTAACTAATTTTAGTCTAGCTTAAATTAAATTCAGGATAGAAAAGAAAAGAATGACTGGTGATGTGAGAAAGACATTTTTTTGATTTCATGAGTTAAAAAATTAAAAACGAGTTTTTGACTTTTAATTTGAATGGTTTTCCCTCTTTCCTTCTTGTTAAAATTTTTTTAAGTTTTGCTAAATGTAATTATTAAAAAATTATTTAAAATAAAATATATTTGTAAATAAATCATTCAACCATAGCAGTGGTGCATCTAATTACAAGTTTTTATTAATCTTGATATTGCTGGCTGGATGAGCGCTACGAAAAATAACATTAGTGGTAAAAAATACAATTTAAACGTTATTTTATAATTGATACAATTTTATTTTAAATAATTGAACACAAAACAAACAAATTAAAAAACATTTTATAACGTTTCCTACTGAACTTAACGATTTTTACGATGAAGTTAAATATGTATAATTCTAACTTATGATTCTATAGTACGAGCAAGTTTGAATCTACTTTTAGACGCTTAAAAGTGATTTTTGTATCAATCCGCAGCATTTTGTGGCCGAGGCTTTATATTCTTGTGATTTCCGATCATAAATGTCGAAATATTGGGGAGAATTACCCGACACGGACGATGAAGAAGTCGTCGAGGATTTTGATTTTACTACAATAAAATTGGATAAGCCGAATACTAGTAATAATGTTCAATATTTTCCTGTGTACCAACCTGTAATCCATGCTGAAAGGTTAGTTATAAAAAATGTTAAATTTTATATTCGTTAATTAAATAAAATCATTTTAAATTACATATTTTTTCCAACACAAAGCTTCCTGCCGCCTGACATTTATTTCAGTGAAGATCCACGAATAACTGCAAACATCGATCTCGTGTCTTACATAGTGAAGCATGAAGATCATTTGAATGGTTTGGAAAGCAAGGTGAAAGATTTAAAAGAAAACCATGTTAGTTTGATTTTTTGATTATACTTCATAAAATATAGTTTAAAATTGTTAATTGAAAAGGTTTTTTGATAAATTTTTTAAGTTCTTTAACATATTATAATCAAAGTTTTTTTTATTTTTTTTCTTAATCCAGATCCCAAATAACATAGAAACTGTTTTATCTATGTTATCCTTACCTATAGTACCACCTCCAGTTCTTAGTGAACAGACATCTTGTCACAATTTCAACAGTGATCATGATAATATAGCTAAACTTCAATCGTATACAGATAGGTTCAGAGATTTTTTCTATTAAAATTATTTTTTTATAATTAATATGTTTAGATATTGTAAATATTATGATTGTAATAATAAATAATTAAAATACTATCGAATGTTTACTAAATTTTTAGTGATTTTTACAATGGAAGATTTCCTAACGGTTTGAAATCACTGAATGCAATGCTACTAGCAGCTGATCATAAAGATGAGTTAGTTTTAAAATCTATATCTACAATTGGCTTACTAGCTGGCTACACAGGTAATTATATTATATTCATAATTTGTTTAATTTTAAATAATTACATTTTATTTAATTATGATTGTATTTGCATAAATTATCAAATTTATTTCGACACACATACACAGGTATTGAGGAATTGTGTTTGAATGTATTATGTACAGTTTTCGGACAGTTTATGCGCTTGCTGACCACTCAGCTGAAAGCCTTATGGGATATAAATAGCTCTGAAAAACCTTTTCCTGTATGTTTGATTTGTTTCACAGTATTATATAGTCATTGAAAAATTGCAGATAATAATAATTAGTAATGTATTATTTTGTGATATCCTCCAACTTTGATATTAAAAATTTTGTAATTAATTTATATAACAATCATAAAATGAAAAAAAATGACACCAGATCTTATTTTGATTTAAGGTCAATAAAATAGTTTTTATGATGATTAAAACAGGATTTAATAGGAAAAGTTTTGTATGAAATGAACCAAGGAAAATGCATTGACGTCGTCAGAAGCTGCAGAACTCAATTCATAAATAATTCTAGCTACCTATTAAAAACCTCAAACACAGTCTATAATGATTGTCTGAAGCAGCAAGAACATTTCAGAAAGATCATTCCAGAGTTAATTACAAAACTGTCAGCTGATAATAACCAGCAGCTGCATCACCACCATGATAATCCTGATCAAAATATTTCAATGGAAACTTTGACTGAAGAAAAGTGTGTGGCTAAACTTGTAGATCTTAATTTTTTTTCACTGTTTTCTTTTGTCATTTTAATTGATTCAATTTATTTATGATTTAAACTTATTATTTAATAGTTATTTATTTATTCCTTATTCAATATTTAATAAAAGAAGTGTTCTTTTTATTTGATCAGCTGTGTGAATTACAGTGATCAGGCAATGAATAGCTTTTTGAATCCAAATCTTGAGAGTCACAACGAAACAATACCACCTTACAAAAAGTTAAATTCAGCTGTTTTTATTTCAATTTATATTCTATAAATGAATGACATCATTAATAGATATTATTTATCTTTTAAAATTATCAAAATATTGAATAAATTCATTTTTCTATAGTATTTTTTCATAACTATACACATTAAAATATGACTAAAATGTTTTATTTTGTTTTAATACAGGTTCAAAAGCTCCTAGATGACTAGATTTTATTTTAATTTGTTGTAAATTGCGTTTGTGTTATCTATTAAAATAACTTTTGTTTCATAATTGTTTCATATTTGCTGTTAAATGTACATGCTACTACACTGTATGTAGTAATTATTTTCTAATAATAAAATGTTAATACTTGAAGGGATTGTTTTGAAATGTGCGAATAACATAACTACAATAAATTTTTATGGTAAACTATTTTTGCGTTACCTTGTCTGGGCTGTCTATGCGTTGGTATAGCGATAATATAGTTATACTTTTAATGAGATTTTAGTTTAAGTCTGATTGTTTCGCGATTTTATTCCTAATTTATGATTTTATATCTAATTAGAGATTTCACGAGTTTTAGTTTAAGTCCATTTTTTTCAATTTTAAATAAAGTTTTCGCTAAATCTAAAAATTGAAAAATAAAATAGGTCTGTCACCTTACTTCTTTTTCTATTAAATACAAATTACACACACACAAACAAAGTCAAGAAAGATGCTCACCACATCAAAAAATCGTGAAGGTGTCTACCGAGATTCTGAAACAGGCGAGTTTTTGTTAATTTAATTTTTGATGAAAAAATATTATTTTACTAAGTTAAACTTTTTTTTAACTATCTGTCTTTAATAAAAGGCCAAGACTAAAAAGTAAAAATGTAATGATATTTTAATACATTACACAGGTGATCTTTACCTTCCTGCCACTCAACGGCCAGATGGATCCTGGAGAAAGCCCAAGAAAGTTAAAGAAGGTTACATACCCCAAGAGGAAGTACCTGTGTAAGCTGCATTGACATCACTTTACATTTAAACTGTTCATCACCGTGAAGTTTCTTAATTTTTCTAAAGTGGTTTGATAATTTTGTTGGCTGTTGGTGTCAGCATGTAACAAATAAATGCAACTATATTTACATATCCTGCTGTGCTTCTTCAAAATTTTCTCATATTGTAAGTAAATAAAAAGATAATTCCTAATTCCTATTCCATAGCTATGAAACCAAAGGAGCACATTGGTTAAAATCATCAAACACAGGTATACCAGTGGGTCTGTCAATCATCCAACTTCCTAGTAGCAACAACAACAAAAGCCTAACAAACAACAAATTAGGGAATGTCATTAGTAACCAATCCATGAACAGCAATAACACCATCACTGAAACTGCTACTGCTTTGTCAAAGGCAGCTAAAAAAAATTTGAAAAGGAAAGAAAAAAAATTGAAGCAGAAGTTAGATGATGGCAGTGTGAGTGCAGATGATGATGAGGTGGTCGATAGCAATATAAATAATGAAGATGTTCTTATCAGCCAAACATCAGATTGGATCGAAAGTTTAAAAATTACAAACACTAACAACATCAAAATTGAAACCGAAACTGAAAACAAAGAAGTCTTCAAAAAATTACGAGCTCTTCGTAAGAAATTAAAACAAATAAATGAAATTGAAACACAAATAAGTTCAGGCATTTTGAAAAAACCTGAAAAAGAACAACTTGAAAAGATTGCCAAAAAGCAGCAAATAGAAGAGGAAATAAAATTGCTAGAGCAAGACCCATAGACTATTTAATAGTCCGTGTGTGTGCGTGAGTGCGTGCGTGTGTGTATGCAAGTATTTAAATATGTGTGTTGTGCATGTGTGTGTATGTGCATTTATGCCGGTAGGTTTAACAACTCAATACACATTTGCTATTATTGTGTTCATAATATCGCGGGATTGGAAATATTTATGTGATTAGTGGGCCCAAATAAATTTTTTCATTTTTTTGTGATTTATATAAAAAAATAAAATATGTTAATTAGGTAGCAACGCATGCAAAAGTCTCTTCTGATTTAATTTGTATCAGTGGACTATGATGCGTGAATGAGAAAAAAATATTTGACAAATAAATAAATTCAAATATAGAAATGAAGAAAATAGAATTAATTAATCTATATCATAGTCACTGTCATCGTCGTCGTCATTGTTGCCGTATTTAGCAACGCCCGCTCGAATGCACGGATTTCTGCTGCTGTTGTACAAGTTATCTGGTAACAAGCCATGCCTGTTTTTGTGAGTAAGTGTGTGCGTGAATGCACGTGTGTGTGCGTGCGTGCGTGTATGTATGTGCGTAAGCGTGTGTAACGAGATACTAACTCAACTAGGAAGCTTGCAACATCATTAGGAAAAAATTCATCCCCAAATTCATCTGAAAGTCGAACAAAATTCCCTACAAGTTCACCTTTTTTGTACACCAAAAGTGCTGGGACCCCGGCCAAAGACTGAATATACAAAGATAATAATTATTCTTGTCAGGCTAATTAGTAACATTCTTTTTATATTTTGTTGAAAATATATATAATTATCAACTATAAGCCATCAACTAAACTAACACACGAATAAACTAACAAAATTAAGACTCATTTGAATGTGTGAGGTCTCAATCTTGCAGAATTTAACATCGGGATATGCGGTGGATAACTCATCAATGCATTTGTTCATCGTTTCACAAGCTGTTACACCCTAAATTAAATGTATTTTCAATTTATTATTTATATTATTCATTTTAATGTTTTATTTAACTAATTTATTTTAATCCACAGTTAGTAAACTTATCAGTATTGCTAAAGTTTTATAATAAATAAAGACCCGCAGCAAACAAAATACTACCTTTTTATAAATATGCACAACAACTATTGTACATGCATCTTCTTTATCAATGGCTTCTAGGAATGTCTGCTTATTCAAATGAACAACTTTGCCAAACTGAGGACTATATCATTTTTACGTAAATAAATAAAATAAATAATATATAACAATATATTATAAAATAATATATTATAATAATGAAATAGTATAATCGTAAAGATGCCTGTCGTTGCTTATGCAGTTGCCGGATTTGAATGACTATCGAATGGAGTGTAAGGTGGATTCGTTGATTGTGTTTTTGTTTGTTAATACTTCAAAGAAACATTGGAGAAAATGTATCACAAAGATATAGAATGATTATGATATAAAAAGCTATAATTAAATTTTAAAAGATTAGACCAAATATATTAACTACCATTTAACAACAGCATTTCTCATTGATTCAATCCTCTTTGCTCTATATTCTTTCATAAATTCTTCATCAAAGTCATCTAAATGATCTTCTATTTCTTCTAAATATTCAAGATCTTTGGCCTTTTCTTTGTCATTTTCTGGCTAATTAAAAAAATGTAAAATCATATGAAAGATATAAATATAACCAAAATATATATGCCAATATGTTATGTTATAGTGAAAGTGACAAAACTACTATATATACATCATTATGCAGTGTGAAAAAGAATTTAATTTATAAAAAATTAAAAATTTAAGTAAAATTTAAAAAAATTATGCTCACAATAGTTCTACAAGTGGTAGATAATTTTTTTGCCAGAGCAAGCCTTTCCTTTTCGTTCTCATCTCTCCTTTCAGTTTCCAACTGTTTGTATCTTCTCCAATCTTCTAATACACCTTTGGGACCAGTCTTCAATTATTATAGTAAAATTAAAATTAGTAAAAATCAACTGATGTGATATTAAAAATGTGTAATTGATAATTTTTACTATTATTGAAAAGCATTTAAACTTTACAATTTATCTCTTATTTATCACTCATAAAGTAATTCATTCACAACCAAAATCTAACATTAGAGCAATGACCGCCATAAGAATTCAAATCCGGAGCCTGAACAGTCGGCATTTTTGTGGAGGACTTTGAAGAAGATTTATGATTTTGATTTGAGTGCCCACATTCATTATCATCATCATCACACGAATCATATTTTTCATCTTCACTGCTACTACAATAATAATCCGTTTTTTCGCCTAATATTTTGTCGTCAAAGCTTAAAGCCATTTCAGATTTCACGAATTAACCGAGGCAAAAAAAATTTAGTGTAAAACGACGAACTTAAATTAACTTTTAAACATTATGTTTAGTTACCACAGAAACACAAGTATAAATAAAACTTTCAATCAATCAATCAATCAATTAGTTTATAAAGCGCTATTTCTGCGATGTTCAACAGCGCTCCTCAATGAATTTTGCAAACAGATGGGTCTTGAGATCCGCTCTGAACTTCGTAAGTGATGGAAAAGTAGTTAGATAAGGAGGTAGAGAGTTTCAGAAAAAAAGGCCCGAAAAAGCCAATGCAGATTTTGCAAAAGTGTGTTTAACACGAGTTAAGAAGTGAGAAAAAAAAGACGATGGTAAACCGTGGCGTTTAGGTTCAATTAATTAATATATCTAATAAGTATGTACTAAGGAAATAATTTATAATAATAATAATAAGTAAGTAAATAATAAGGAATAGATTGAAACTTATACATAAATGTCCAAATTTTAAAAATTATTCTATATTTTATACTAGGTAGCCAGACAGCCAGTGCAAGAAAACAAGATATGGAGATATATGATAAAAGGAAGGGGCGCGAGCAACTAGACGAACAGCAGAGTTAAAAGCTTTACTTCATTGATAGAGTGTAGAATCAGGAAAACCATGCGAGCGCGAGATACAATAATCAATCCTAGATAAGACTAACGAAGTAACAAGAAGGAGAAAAGAAGAACCGTCAAGAAAAGGCAAAGGTTTTTTTAATTCTACGTAAATGAAAATAATAACTTCTAGCAAGCAACATAATTAATCTGAGGAGACACACTAGAATCAAAGATAAAGCCTAGACTACGAAACTTGTGAGAAACATCAAGAGTTTTAGAATCAGATAAGATAATAGGAAGAATATGATGTTACATACTAATATAGAGATTTTAGAAGTTGCAACATCGGTGCTGGTTATTACGAGTGCAAGAGATTCACAATATTTTTAATTTATCATTTTGTTATCTTAATCAGAAAGCGTTTTTATAAAGCTGAAATTGGTTTTTATGCAAAATCACTATTTACAAATAAATGAACAAATAGCGTCGGTGAAATGTTAAATTAGGAGAAAACGAAAAACAAAAAAGAAAGAAAACTCTGAAAACAAATCTCAAAAGCACAGTTTTGCGGATTTAATTAGTTTCAAATGCTATTTTATTTTAAATAATTCTACAAAAACATCATTTTGGCTAAATTTTAAGACAACAATTTGATTATTTATATCAAAAATACAAACGTAAAGAAAAGAAATGTTAAATCAAAGTTTTTTCTTCTTCAATGATTTCTTTTTTTCCTTACCAGTTCTTATAGCCATATTACCGTCATCATCATCCTCATTGCAGATGATGACGTCATTACGAGTACCACCACCACCACCATCATCATCATCGTCGTCATCTACCATAATGAAATCACAAACTTTGCGCCTTTTCTTCTTTTCATTTGATAGCGTTTTAATTTTACGGGCGTCATCAACGTCATCCTCCTCATCACCATCATCAATCATGACATTGATATTGTTATTATTATTAATATCATCATTATAATTATAGTGATTATGATGATGACCATCAATTTTATTCCTTCGCTTTTTCTTTTTCTTCTGCTTCATCTTTGGCGATGATATTTCCATTTCTTTGGAGTCAAAATCATCATTGTCGTCGTCCACATTAATATTATTGTTGTCTTTATTATTATTATTATTGCTGTTGTTATTGTCATCATCTTCATCAGTTTTCGTTCTTTTTCGCTTTTTCTTCTTCCTCTTCACTTCCCCTTGCAACGTAGAGACTGCTCTGACATCGATAACAAGACTGTCATTATTATTATTATTGTTAGTAGTAATGTTGTTGTTACTATTACTATTGTTATTATTAGTAGTATCGTTGTTGTTTTTAATGGTGGCCTTTGAAGACGTCAAGCCGGATTTCTTCCATTGGCGCTGTTTGAGTTTGTTGAAATTCATCAGTGACACTTCGTCAAGTAACTCTTGAATTAGTGAAAAGAAAATATTTTTTTTTAGTTATCATCATCGTCACCACCATCATCATCTTCTCCACCATCATCATCTTCTCCACCATCATCATCTTCTCCACCATCACCATCTTCTCCACCATCATCATCTTCTCCACCACCACCACCACCATCTTTTCCATCATCACAATCGCAACCTTCGAAAGATTTCATTCGGTGATTTGGAATCATGCATTTTAGTTGATACCATTTGATCTGTAAGAATTGCGGCTTGGAGGCAACACTGTAAATAATAATAATAAAAAAAATAACAACACTAAACACAATAATAATAGAAATAATAACAAATTATAATAATAATAATAAAACCATTGAGCAAATATAACAACTCTTTAAATGATTCAGCGAGCTTCAGCCAATCTATATTGTTTTCAGAATTGGTACCAGACTTTATCATCCTGTAATAAACATGGGAACATCCTTTTATTTTCTAACTCCAAATACTAAATATTAATAATGAAATAATTATAAAATCCTATTTAATCTAAAATAATAATAATAATAATAATAATACAAATAATAATAAACGACAATTATAATCATAACAATGCAACCAAATCAAACACCCAAGTATTAGCATGAAAACCATTTTCTAGCGTGCAATCAATATATATTTCTGAAAAACGGCAGGCACTCATATTACACACACACACAACTGATTAGTATTATTATTAAGGTCAGATTAATCTTTATTATTATTACTATAATTATTATTATTATTATGCTAACAAGTCAATTAATTTGATTCTGTCATGCAAGTTGAAGTATCGATAATCGGCTTGGGTGGCTCTAATTTTGATGTCACGTTCCTCCTCTTCCTCCTCCTCCTCCTCATCATCTCTATTATTATTATTAATACTATTATTATTATCATTATTAATAGTTTTGTTCTTGTACTTATTGTTTTTATTATCGTTGAAGTTTTCGTCTTTGCCTGTTCTATAGATGACTGTGGCTGATAGACCGCTTTGGGCCAACCTGCAAAAATCGTTAAAAGAACGATGACGTTGATCGTGATCATGGCGAATATGATTAAGGATTTCTTTAAATTAATCTAAGGACGAAAGAAAACACGACCGACCAACCAACCAACCAACCAACCAACCAACCAACCAACCAACCAACCAATCAATCAATCAATCAATCAATCAATCAATCAATCAATCAATCAATCAATCAATCAATCAGAGACAAGCTACTAACCATCGTTCTCTACACTGTTTTGCATTCCTTTTAGGAATCTCCTCTGCTATCTGGGACCAGGGTAGGTTGTAGTATAAAAATTTTGTATCAAGAGCCAGTCTCTCTATCAATTTCAGTCGTTTCTCTCTCTCCTCTTCATCTTTCTCTTCATTCACTCCTCCATCATCATCAGCATCACTTTGTCCATTATTATTATTATTATTGTTATTCTTTTTCAAACTTTTCATCAAGGCATCTTTATCTTTATAATAATCAGCCAATCTTTCCTGATAGTATCTGTTGACCGACGTGATGAGAAGATTCGTTTCATCCTCACTCCATTTGCCATTGGCTGATCAAAATTATAACCATAATAATAAATAATTATAATAAATGATAATAATAAATTATAATAATAAATTATACTACTTTTACCACTACTGCCAGTAATATTGTTATTATCGTGTCATAACAATACCATACAAATTAACTGATCTAAACTTAACTCCAACTAATTTAATTCCATTGATTTTTTTGGTACCTAAATTAACGATTCATTCATTTGCAACAGCTATCCATTTCATTTTATGATCATCTCGCGAAATTGGTTAATAAAGAAAAAACTCTCAATTATAATTTTAACTCTCAATTATAATTTTAACTATCGATTATAATTTTAACTCTGATTATAATTTTAAAAAAGATTATCACCAACTAACCGGGATCTTTTCTTATTTTCGCACTTTTAACGAGTAGAGACCTACCCGTTCGGCCCATTAGTTCGCCGATCTTCTCCCACTTGTTTCCGTACTCAGCTTCCAATTTTTGCAACAAGCTGATCTCTTCTTTTGTATATCTATAATAAATAAAATGATAAGCTACAAAAATACCATTAGCAAATAAACATTATTTTAACAAACAAAAATTAAATAATAATAACAACAATAATAATAATAGTTAAAAATGTAATTTAACTATGAATAACATATTTATTCTACCAAAGTATAGAAATTCTTTTCAATAAATTAAACAATTCACAATGAAAACTACTTTGAATTATATGAAAAAAATTAATGAAATGTCAAAGATAAATAAGATTATTTTGAATAATGAAATAATTATTTGAAAATTAAAATGAATAAAATGGAAATAATTGGAATAACCTTCCAGTTTTATCAGCCTTAATGAATAGCTTTCTGGCCCTAGCGTACACAGAGTATGGTGATCTATTTATTTTATGACCTGTTTGAAATTAAATGTAGAAAACTAAATAAAAATATAGTAAAGACATTTAAAATAAACAACTGTAATAACCAATATTATTTACAATTTTTCACTTTTAAACTAATAAAGACTAATATAATCAAACCTAATAAGATATAAAAATTAATGCTTTTGATGTAATTATGGAGTTCTTTAGAATCGAGGCCATTGACGCGTTTCCCAAGCAAAACAAGAGGGTCTTCAAATGGACAACTCTAAATTAATAAATTCTGATTAAACCATGAAAATGTAAAAAAATAATTTAACAATTTAATAACAATAATTAAAAAATTAAATAATAAATTTGGATCATACATTACCTCAATAACATTTTTCCAATTTTTCTTCAGCTGTTCATTCTCCTTGTCAGTGAAGTAGCCAGTTGAAAAAGGAATGCCTTTTTTTCAGAAATTGATTTTGTAATAACTTTTAGCGATTATTTAAAAATTCCTAACGTATTTTAATTAATTATAATTAATACTGTGAAATAAACAAATGGCAAATTAAATAAATGAACGATTGATTGATCAATGATGAAGAAGTGGAAGTATGAAATGAAAACAAACATTACCTTTTTTCTTCAAATCATCTAAAATTTTTTTCCAGTACACACTGCTAGATGTATTTGCCGATTTAAAAATTTTCAATCGTTTAATATCTGGCATATTTTTACGTTTTAGTTTATTAGTTTTTTTTTATTAATCCATTAAAATCAAAATTTTTTCAAAACATGTGAAAGTGAGATAAATTCACTTTTAGTGTAGGAATGAAAATACGATGTTTATTATTTCTTGACCATAGAGTTACATTCGCCTAGAATTAAGTGTTGTTAACTTTAAAGGGCCCAATTGATGATTGATATAAAGCAACCTTTATGTAAAAGTAATTACATTTTTTAAAATACTAAATTGCACGCAATAGTATTTATGTATTGTCTAATTACAGCTATGTGTATGTCGTAAATACTGGAGTAAGTATTAAAATACTATTTAAGTGTTTAAATCATAGATACATATCTAGATACATTCCCAGTTGTTAAATGCTTAACAACTGGGAATATGCAAAAATGAATGGCTATAGCTCAATCCTAGTATGCCCACTTAGCCAACCTATGGCTTCTGTAAGCCACTGTATTTTATCGGCAAAAAATATTTTTATATTCAAATTAACAAAAATAATTTTAAAATAAAAAATACAATTTACTTGCTACAATATTATAAACATAATAATTCAATAAAATATTTCATTGTTTGTTAAAAGCCATGCAATTCCATAAGTAAGCCAAGAAGCCAAGCAAGTCAAATACAGCCAATTAGTCCATTGTTGACGAAAGCAAGGGTTATCGTACGTCTTTTGAAGTTTTTAAAGTTACACGTTGTTAGGAATCACGGATTTTAAAAAAATATAGATTCTTGAATAAATAAATAAATTGTAAGTGAAAGGTAAAAAGTTAGCTTAGAAAATTAATTTGCGATTAGATTCATTAGTTTGTATTTTGTGAAAATTGAATGTCAGATTGGCCGCTGCCGAACTTTTTCGATTGCTGCGACACCTTACGCTTTGACTTCAGCAAGGTTGTTGAATTTCTTATTTATTCATTGTTTGCTTATTTAATATTTTCATGGTTAACTTTGATTTGTTATTTATTTTGATATTGTTAATAATTCTTATCTAATTCAATTTTAATTTGAATTTTTTTAAACCCCCCACTGTGCCGTGCCGGCGGGTAGATGGCCGTTGATGAGTTTGGCATAATTTGGTCCGATAAGAATCTACAATTTGCCATGTTTTGTATCATTTTCAACCCAATTTATTGGAATGTGGTGAGTTCATTTACTTTTTTGTTGGTTTTAATTTAATTTAAATTTTAAATTAGTGATGTCGATCTACACTATAACTTATTTTTATATTTTGTTCATTAATTTTTAATTGAAATATTCTATTCTATATATACATATATATTACTAATAATTAATTTATTTCATAATTATTATTTTTTTTTTATTTTCAGGTGGCCAGATTAAATTATTACACAAAATTCCTAGAGAAAATATTTGAATCCAAGAAAATTGCCTGCTCCGTGTTTGCTGTCACCATCATTTTGTTAGGATTTTACAGAGACTGGCTGTAAGTTAAGTTGGTGATGATAAAATGATGATTATATTTAATACTATTACATATTATTTATGGAGTAAGGTTATAGACATACCTTAGTAATGATAATAATTAAGTTATAAAAAATGATGATTTTTTATTAATTATAATATGAATATATATTGAAAATAATAAAATACTAATTTGTAAATAAATAATTACTAAATGGTAATATTTTTAGATTCACAATAGCCATGAAATCTCAGCCAGCAAATCCCATGTTTGATAGTTTGATAGTTCATTGTTTAGGCTGGCTTCTTATTGCTATTGGCACGTCACTCGTTTTATCTGCTTTCTTTGCTCTCGGGTTCTATGGTTGTTTTTTAGGTACTTAGTGAATTTATATTTTTTTTGTTATTTGTATCTTATTTATAATATTATTTGTTTCGTAATTATTTTAAATTAATTATAGCTTTATTGTTTGTTTTAATAGGCGACTATTTCGGGATCTTGTTGCCGGAGAAAGTTACAGCATTTCCATTTAACATCTTTAATAATCCCATGTATTTCGGATCTTTTTTAAACTTTCTAGGAACCTCGTTACTGTAAGATTTTGAAAGTAATTTATAATATAATTAAATATTTGTAGTATCTTTATAATATTATGGTTATAATATATTGTTACATAGATACAATAAATTCTCGTCTACATAGATACAACAGTGAATCTGGAATTTTCTTGTCAATATTAGTTGCCCTTGTTTATTCTGGGATGCTCATTTTCGAAACGTGAGAAACTTTCTATCAATATCTTTGTTGTCATCGACGATGATGTCCTCAATGATTTAAAAAAAAGATTTTTCTTATAGTTTGATAGTTAATAAACAACGAATTAACAAATTGATATATTTTAAAAGTGAATTTAACATACTTTTTTTAAATTTTATCAGGGATTTCACGACAATGATTTACAGTCAAGCCAAAAAGGCGTCAAAAAACGAATAGACGTTTGACTGACTGAGTGAATTGTTTCTTGGATGATTGATGGATGGATTGATAGATGGATGGATTGATTGATTTGTTGCTTTATTGATTTTAATAGGTAATTTCACGTAATTGTTATCATATTATTATCATTCCACATTTGAAAAAGATAATTTTATCGTTCATTTATTTATTTATTTATTCATTCATTTAATAATTTTTTTAACTTCTTTTCAATGCGTGTAGATTTTAAAATATTACTCTGTGCACGTTTTATATCATTATGTCTGATCACACTGATTGTCATGTTTAATTAACCAGTTTAATTAATTAATTTTTAATTAACATTTTTAATTATTTAAATTAATTAATTAACCCGTTATACTATTTGTTAAGTTGAGTTAAGAATAGACAGTATTTTAACTATAAATTAATCTCTCTTTCTGTAGTTTCTATGGGCTGTTAAATATATACAGTATTTCGAATGCAAATAAAATATATTCATTTGTACGTGTGTATGTATGTATGCGTGTGTGTACATTATACTGTTATGTATATATTATATATATACTTTATGTATATATGTACATGTATATATATATATATATATATATATATATATATGTATATATTTATTTATATACGTGTATTAGTGGTTAGTGATTTAGTTATTTCATTTATTTTTGTCTAATGAATGAGATAGATTGGTCGTTTTTGATAGAAAAATAATTGGTGTACACCGGTTTGCACACATACATGTACACTCACGTACACACATACATCATTTGCTTTGACATTCTCGAGTGAAGCTAGGCGCTTCAGAAGTTATTCAATAGGGGCGCCTCACAAATATATAGATACAGATACACACATACATGCACATACACACACACATACTCAGGCATAATATCTACTTCTGTATTTAAATAGTTGAAATCTATCTTCTTCTTGAACAATTAACATGTGAACGAAAAATAGACCAAAGACCTATTGGAAAAATAGTTTCAAAAAATTAATTATTATTTTGTTATAGCTATTATTATTATATCAACAATAACAACATCCGTAATAAAACATTAGTGACATCAAAACAGATACAAACGCTTTTATATAAATAACAATAATAAATATAAACAATAATAATATAATTAATAACTATTATTATCATTATCGTAATGATCATTGTCGTTATTATAAAAATAATTACATGAACGATGGAGAAGGCTAATGATGTTGCTCCTAGCACTTCCAAATTGTACTCCAACCAAAGGAGGAATAATTTTCGGCAGCCATTTGTGTAAAATCCTTTGGCCTGCAAAATATCTTTATACCTTTTACTGTTCTGGGGTAGATTAACTCGTACTTTTCTACCACAATCCTGGTTAGTGTGTGGTTTGTGTGCGTGTGTGTGTGTGTGTGTGTGGTTTGCGTCTGCGTGCGTGAATTCCTATGTAGGTGTGGATGAGGGTGTATGGATTATGTATGATTTGTAGATTGATTCATTGATCGATTGAATGATTGATTGGTTCAATGAAGGATTGTTCGATTGTTAACTCCACGCGTTCATTCCTTCATTCATTCAACGATTACCCATCCATCTATCAATTCATTCATCCGAAGAACGATCGAACGACTGAACGGTGAGAATAAAATTCAAAGAAATGAAATGAAACTGCGGACCTGCTTCATACGCATGCAGCAGGAGTCGGGAAGGTCGCAGGATTGGGCTGAGCCTGCATTCGAACACGTAAAGTTGTCGTTAATCTCCCAACTCTGAGGAGCGTTCAGGCCACAACACTCAAACTAAGAATAATAATGATAACAATAATTAAAATAATAATAATAATTATTATTATTATTATTACAATGACGATAGTTAGAATATTATAATGGTTGTCTGCCATCTATTTGTCTGAAATGTGTTTGTATGCTTGTAAATGTGTGTTGTGTGTATCAGATCTTCTTCTTCCTCCTCGTGCCTCATTCTCTCAGGACATTGGCGACCATCGACCCGCACAAAACCCGATCTTTAACACTTTAGCAAGAGTTGAAATGTGATGATATTCAACAAGTGACACAAGGACTCCACGAATGTTATTCGTTGTTGACCCCGATCGGGCATCAGATATAGATAACAATAATGATGATGATATAAATAAATAAATAATAACACAAATAACAACAAATGAGAATTAAGTAACGTACTCTTTGTTGTATGGAGTCAACGGCTGATTGTAGGTTAACATCGTTCAAGTAGTTTTTTAGAGCCATCTCCATTTGATCGTCCAGAACTGTGTACACCTTGTGATGATGAATACAATGAAGATGATGATGAAAATGATGAGGACGATAAATACGATGAAGATGATAATGATTAAGACGATGAAGATGATGAAGACGATGAAGATGAAGATGATGAAGAAGATGATGATATTGGTAACAACGACGACGATGATGATGACAAAGGTCAATGCCTTACTTTCTCTCTGAACAGAAACGTAACGATGCCGACCGCGATTTGTATGCTGAGGACAACGAAGATGATACCTAAGAACTTTAATTAATTACAATAATTTATCTATCATTCACTTTTCTATTCATTCACTCATTAATTCACTCATTAATTCATTCATTAATTCATTCGTTCGTGCATTCAATCACTTGAACACTCACAGACTCGTTCGCGACAAACCGATCTAAGAAGAACCGTATTATCCTTAACCGCTCCGATAATACCGACGGCCGAGGTGAACAGTACGATTAGCGAAGCCCCGATGGAGAGTAGGGATGGGTAGGTCAAAATATCGTCGACCGCCTCGAATTGACTCTTAATGGCGGCAATCCAGACGCTGATAACCAACATTATTAGTCCTATCATCTGTATGTTGATGTCATTCATTCATCCATCCATTCACTTATTTATATATCCATTAATTCATTCATCCACTCACTCATTCATTCATCAGTATTTAGTTAGTATTCAGCTCGCGCACGTAACGTAACGCCAGAGACACGCATCACTGGACAGCACCAACATCATTTCGTCATCTCATTAATTAACTTCCGTAACTAAAGGAAAGGTGGAAAATAAGGGAAGACTAGAAAGAGAGAGCGAGAGAGAGAGACAGAGAATATCAAAATTGAAAAATCCAGTTTAAAACAAAAGAATGATTTGCACGTACGCTCGTAAAAAGGAATACAAATTATTTCTATTAGTATCATTACGAATGAATGAATGGACGAATGAATGAATGGACGAATGAATGAATGGACGAATGAATGAATGGACGAATGAATGAATGGACGAATGAATGAATGGACGAATGAATGAATGGACGAATGAATGAATGGACGAATGAATGAATGGACGAATGAATGAATGGACGAATGAATGAATGGACGAATGAATGAATGGACGAATGAATGAATGGACGAATGAATGAATGGACGAATGAATGAATGGACGAATGAATGAATGGACGAACGATAACGAATGAATGAACGAACTAATAAACAAATGAATGAATGAATGAACTAATAAACTAAACAGAACTCACAAAATACGTAACTCCATATAGAACAGATAAGAACTTATACATGCAATATTCAGTACAAACAGGTCTTCTTGGCAAAGGTTCCAAACTTGTCAGGGGGGTTCTTGTTTGTCTCGATGTTTGGAGCCTTTCTGGCATTTTTTATGTAACTGGTTGAGATTAGACAGAGACAGCTTGTCTCAATGATTTTTGGAACTCTTTTGGCATCTTTAATGTCGTTGGCGACGAGATTAAATGGAGCTTTTTTATTTGTATCGAAATTTGTTAATCCTTATTCAGAGATTAGTTAGATGTCATACATACACATTTTTAAGCTATTCCTTATTTTTTTAATTTTCAATACACTGACGGCTTCCTTTTATAAATATCAAATAAAAATATGAACAAACAAGCTTACAAAGATACATACGTATATACATACATACGTACGTACGTACATACAAACATAAGTACTCAACTGGATATAGATTGTATTAATACAAACATACGGCATGAATATAAAACTGCCCGGATGGATGAGTTTACGTGTGTGTCATACACACACAACACATATACATACCTTATGTATGTAACCATGAATACATATACTAAAAATACTAACATACATAATACGTACATTCGTAACTAACAAATATACATACAATATATCATACTACGGAAGAAAATTTATCAAAATTTTGATCCATTAAATCATATATATTTATATATATATATTAGTGCAAAAAATTTGTTAATAACTACATATTTTAGGAATACACCAATACCTAAACTATATATATATATATATATATATTATATATATATATATAATTGCACATATTAGCAAGTTATGGTTAGCTATTACATATGAAAAAAAATTAAGAAAAAATCATACATGAGAATCATTGGTACATAATTTATATAATAATCATAATAATACAAATAATTATTATAAACATACACACATATATATATACATATATATATATTTTTTGATAATATGTATGTATATATACAGTATTGTACTGAATTGTTGGTATTAATCAATTATACAATACTGCATAAAATATTGTCTCCTTCCAACATATATATATATAATTATAATATTTATATATAATTATATGATAGTTCATATACACAAGATATATATATATATATAATTATATGAGTTAATAATGATTGTAATGATACATCGCAAGAATAATGAAATGGCAAATTTGAAAAAATATAGAGAATTTAATAAAACTAGAAAAACAAGAATAATAATAATAACCGATAATAATAAAGAAATGAATAATAAAAGTCATTAATTCTAATTATTAATGGTTAGAATTAATAGTTGAAGGAGAAAAGTCAATTTTGTTGAAGAGAGAGAGAAGAGTTCATGAGATATCAAATAAAATGCACCAGTCAAATGGATGAATGAATGGAAAGTTATAAAGATTAAAATTAATAATAATAAAAATAAAATAACAAATAAACAAACAACAATAATAATAATATTAAAAAAACTATAATAAAAAAAAAATAACAAAAGAATTATTATGACGACATTGAGAAAGATGTTAGTGTAATCAAATCGTAGAGCGTCTTAGGTAGATTCAATTTCTTGGCATTGTAGAACACATTCTCATTTAGGCTCTCGCGAATTTTAATGACGCAGATATTCTTCAAACTCCTAGGATTTAGCAGGATATTATCCAACCAGTAATTCAGCCAGCGCACGGCTTTGGCGCAGTCGGCTTCGTTCACTCCATTCAACAAAACGAACGACGGTTCTCCGTGCAAATGGAATTCATCGATATACGGGGCTAAATTGCCGTTGGCGGCCGCAATGTTGTAGCGGTTTATTGGGTTTAGGTTGTTGGCCCGAAATTTCGAGGCAATCTGGCGGCACTCATCCGTAATTGTGAGGCCGGAGCAGTAGAGGAGCCACATGGCGTTCCACTGACAACTGAGAACGAGGGTTCTGTAGAACGTTTCAACCTGTTTCAGTTCATATCCAGATGGGTTAGTTATTCAGTCAGTGAGAAATTTGTAGGAATGAAGAATGAAAGATAGAATAATAATTAATGAAAATTTCGTAAATAGTATGAATCATGACAAAGAGCAGACGACATCATTATTAATGAATGATGAGAAAATTTATAATATTTTGTGATTGTATGATGATTAAAAAAAGGACAGAAAACGTCAACATTTAGTAGCCCGGCATCAGCAATACAACAAACAGCCAATACCGATGCACACAAAAACACACCTTAAAATTTTCCTTGTGTATGAACCCCATGGCACTGATAAGGAGACTGAGCGCATCACAGTCAGCAGGTAGGACATAGAAGCTCCTCATCTGCCAAACCACCCCCTCCCAAACCGGCCTCAAAAGTGACCCACGGTCTATTAGTTCTTTGGCAAATTGCAGACGTGTTGAATCGATGCTCACCTAATAAGTAAGAAAAAATCAAACTAATAATTCAGGGAATAAATTTAGCGAGATAATGAATTAGGAAAGTGGAGGCTTGGGCAAAACTAAGAGTGAAAGTAATTTGTGAAACGAGAATTTTATGAAGAGTCATGATGATTTATGATAACCCAAAAGTTACTATATAAAAAAAAAACCAACCATGATGTCGTAACCTAACAGTGAATTTAAGAAAAAAATGAACAACACGAGTATACATATCTTTGTTAACCAATCAACTTAACTAACATTACACTATCGAATAACTAACAGGAGTTTCTGAATGATAGCACTGCGGCATGGGTCTCATATGTTGGTCACGGCAGTCCCAGGCTCTATTAGTGACAGCATAGAGCAGTGGAGTCTTGCAACTTTTACACTGCAAACTTTCATTAACATCTACTCCCTGGTCAAGGAAAAATTTGAAGCACTTGTAACATGCTCTGTGTATGACGGCCGCCAGCGGAGGATAGCGTTCTATTTGCTTCTGTGATTAGGGAATTAGTGAAAGTGTTTTTAAAGATAACAATTGATCTGTATTTACATATGTGAGGTAACCAAGTTAATGAGATGTATATTAATGGCTAATAATCTAATGGCTTCATGAAAATCATGCAACAATATTCCATGCAGATAATAAAAAACTGGTGCCAGATGAAATCAAACTAACTTTGTTGCCATTTTTAAAATGTATTGTGCAGCTGTTGTTATTATTATTACTGTTGTTGTTGTTACTATTATTAGCAGCACAGGAATTTTTCAGCCTTAATGAGCACCCGCTCTTAACGAGCAATCTCGTTATATCGCAGTGGTCTGCAATTGTGGCGTAAAGTAACGCCATGCCCCCAAACCTGTTCTCAACATTAGGATTGGCTCCATATTTCAGTAACAGTTGGACTAATTCAACATTCCCAACCTTGAAAAGAAGTTGAATGAGAAGGAAAATATTAGGACTAATTAGTGGCACAAAAATTACATGAGGAGTAGTTTTTATTTTTAAGATGTTAACTGAAAAAATTTAAAAAATTTTTATAAAAATTTAAAAAATTTTGTTTGACTATTATTAGAAGGACCACAAACATGAACAGCTTTCAGAAAAGCAGTATTCATCCACCAATCCTTCTTATCGACGTCTGCTCCTCTTTCCAGTAACAGTTCAGCAATTTCCTTCTTCCTATTCTCAGTGGCTATCATCAGTGGTGTGGAAACGTAATATTTATTATCAGATATTCCATTAGGATAGGATCCAGCATTCAGTAACTTTTCAACAATTTTATAAGTGCCGTAGACGCAGGCGAAATGTAGCGGTGTCAAACCTGAACGGTCCCTGATATTTACATCAGCCCCACACTCCAACAATAAATTTACCAGACGTGTGTGCTTTTTTCGAATGGCGACATGTAGTGGGGTGTCGCCGCTTATGTTTTGTTGGTTTATATTGGCCCCCAAAGATATGAGTTGAGTGGCCAGCGTTAGGTCCCCGTTTGACGAGGCTATCGTCAGCAGGGTCTCACCGGACGGAACGGTTTTATTCAGACATTCCTTACTTCGTGTGTAGACACATTTCAGACATTTTGAATTTTTTATATGATTACAGCTTGAACGATCATTTACACAGGACAGCAAGTGTCCCATTTTTAGTTATTTGTCATAAAAATGTGAAATTCTATTATAATAAGACTGAGTGGAAAAATTACGTAATCGAAGTTTTCCTCGATTTAAAAACAAATACACCGCAGACACTCTGTTATACCCATAGATATAAACATATATATATTTATATCCATGGTTTTTTTTTATTGGTTATACAAGAATAGGATTAGATTTTTAAAAGTACATAATCTAAACTACTTTTCTATTAAAACAAATCAAATTGTTATTTGTAAAAAAAAATATTTTAAAAAATTTTTTAAATAAAACTTCCTAATACGCAATAATAATTTTTACGATTTTGACTATTTCATAATGAGTTTTCCATACAAATAATTATTTTGTTGCAACAAAAAATAATTGCCAACTTTTCTTACTTCTGTTTACATCTGTTCCGATCGATAAGTCAGGTTGGGCGGTATAAATTGTCCTAAAAGCTTAAAAAATTTGCCCTAAAAATGCAAATTGAGGATAAAGAAGCTTTAAAAAGTTGGCTACTGGATGAGCTACAACCCATGTAATTTATTTTTTGTCACGTTTATTTGTTTTTTTATTTAAATTTGCTAACGTAAGGATATTTTTTTTCACTCGTGATGTGTGGTACACCTAATGTCCTAATTTACCTAAGCTGGCTAATTAGGAGCAGTGAAGTATCACAATATTTTAAATACCTAATTGGTTTTGTTGTTATTCTTTTAGTGCTTTATTTATAAAATTCAAATTTTCAAACAAATTAACAGACAAAAATAAAATTATATTTGAAAAGTATCAAATGAATGAAATAAAATTGAAAATAATAATTCAAAACATTTATAATAAAATATGTATTAATAGATAAATGGTTTATTTATCAAAATTTGATGTTATTTCTAATGTCATTTTTAGCTATGATGCTGAGCCGACATCATTGGCCGATTACGTTATTGCCTTGTTAAAGAAGAATAAAAATGAGAAGGATCTAATGGATTCCTGTCTTGAAAAACTTCAAGTCTTCCTCAATGAAAGTACGTCTCATCTTTCATATTATTTTTTCTTTGGGGTATTATTTGCTCTTTGGTGAATATAATTAATTACTCATTTTCTCATACTTTTTTATGTTTACAAAAAAATAATTATTATATCATTGTTTAGATCTTTTTTCTAGTTACATTCACAATTGTTGGTAAATTTTTTATAAAGTTCTTTTAAAATATCTTTGTTTCAGAAACCCACTGTTTTGTAGAATCTCTATTTGAAGTGCTACAGTCAAAAAAATATTTACCCGACACAAGCAAGACTTCATATTCTTCAAAAGATCGACTTAGTCGTACCACCGGTCAACAACAACACCCCCAAATGTCAACAGCCACCCATCACTCTTCTCATCATCATCAACAACAACAACATTTACACCAACAACAGCAACAACATCAACAACACCACCATGCAGTGTCGTATAAAAATATGCCTAAACGAGATCAAGAGCAGATTAGGCCTAGTGATTTTGCCGGGGCCAGTAGTAGCAGATACCATAGATATGACAGAAGCAGAAGAGATGATTATGATTTGTCTAGGGAGAGAGGTTCCAGAAAATCCCTTAAAGACACTCAACATCAGTCTCCTTGCTCTAAATTTAGAAACAATAGTAGAGATAGGTTGAGGAAATCCATTGAAAATGTAATTTTACTTACAGAATGTATTTCATTTGCTATTTTGGTATTGTTTTAGTTGTCGTAATTGTTATTACTATTACTTTATCATTTTTATTTATTGCCTTTTTCTACAAATGATTAACTCTTGTCTACAGTTGGAATTTTTGAAATATTTGTGTGGTGAAAATTTTTTCTCACATTTTAAGTAAAATGGCTTCTGTTTTAATTTTATTTTTTCCTAAATTTCAGGCCAGACTGAAAAGCAGTGAAACATACAGGTTAATAAATTTACATATATGTATATGCGTGTGCGTGCGTGCGTGTGCGTGTGTGTGTATCTGTATGTGTGTGTGTGTGTATGTATGTGTGTGTGTATCTGTGTGTGAGCGCGCGCGTGTATGTCAATGTGCTAAAAATATGGAATTAAATTTATTTTTTTTTAATCAACAGAGAACTTTTATCACCACCTCTGCGTCTTCCAGCTTGTGCTAGAAAAAGATCATCAAGGTAAAAGTATTATATTCAATTATAGCCATAGTGGTTATATTATTACCATTATATTATTATTACAAGTAATATTTTTGTATCATTATCTTTCTTTAAATCTCTAATCATAATTCTAATTTTAACTCCTAATTTGAATAAATTTCACTAATTTTAGGTCAATATCTAGGTCAGACGGCCGAGGAACAAGCCGACGATCTTACGAGTCGAAATTGAGTGTGACCTCTTCAAGGTCATCCAGTTCTGAGGGAACCCCAGGTTGCTGCTATTTTTAGACTATAGTTATTAGTTGGGAATTTTCAAATTATAATTATGGGTCATAATTATTGTTATAGTTAAATTGGTGCTGGTGGGTTGTGCTTGTATTAAGTGTTTATTATTTATTTCTATGAATTTTGTTAACATTTATTTTTAAAAATTTTATTTCAAAAGTTGTTAAAAGAAATAAGAGTCGGTCATCGACGTCTTTAGAAAATGAACAACGCTCATATGGTATCTTTTTTGTTTAGTTAACATGTGAACGTATGTGCGTCTATGTGTTTATGTGTGTGTGCTTGCGTGTGTGCGTGCATGTGTGTGTGTTTTTGTGTATATGTGTGTATGCGTCTACATCTGCTTCAGTTTAATTATTTCATATTTTATTTGAAAATTTTTTTTTCAGATTGATTTTTGGTCATGATTAATTTATTTTACTAGGTGCATCTATGAAGAAAAGTAGCCATCAGGATTATTCATACACTGGTATGCACGTGTATCTGTGTATGTATGTGTGTGAACGTTTGTATGTATGTTAAAACCAAATCATTGACGAATGACACCAAAAGTCAAGCGTCTGACTAAATTTGATTTTATTTGCTATAACGTCACTCAACCCCGTCGGCATTCAACTCCACATTTTCCAACACACAGACGCGCAAAAACCGCTGCAGAATGCACGAGGTATTATTCATAGCAAAAAAATATTCCCTACTATCGCCTGACCTAATACTGATATTTTTACAAATGTATGTATGTATGTTAAAACCAAAACATGATGAGTGACACTGAACCGTATGTGTGTGTATGTGTGTATGCGTTTGTATATGCGTATGTATGTGTTGTGTGTGTGTTTGTTTGAATGTCTGTACGTATCTATGTACGTTTTAATGTTTGAATGTAGCTTGTATAAATGAGGATTGGCTGCAATAGCAGAAGATACTTCTAGCAATAGTTATAATATACACAATTATAATAATAATATTAACAACCAATAGTAATTATGAACGTAATAATATTAATTATAGTTAATAATAATAATAATATATTATATAATAAATATAATAATATTATAATATAATTATAGTTATAATAATATCGACAACCAATCAGGCCACAGCTATCCCACAGCTATTCAACATCAGTTACAAGCAGGAGTTGCAGCAGCTCATCCATCACAGCAGCAGCAGCAGCAACCACAGCTAGCAGTTCCAGCACTGAATCTTCATCAACCTCCTCCAGCCCTACATCCTCTTCACCCCCCTCCTACGTCTAATTTGGTAAATTTGGGAGGCCAGCAGATGCCCCTGGTTCTACCTATACCCCACTACCAACAACTTCCTCATCATCAATTTAGGCCTCCTTTCAATATGGTTGTCTGTTGTTTTGTTGTTTGACAGTGTTATGGCTGTTGTTGCTATTGTGGTTGTACTCGCCAATGTTGTTGTTGTTGTTTTCTAATGGTTAGGTATTAATGATGTTTAAAAGTGGAATGCCATGCTAACTCAATTTTAATTTGCTACAACAACGACAGCAGCAGCAGCAGCAGCAGCAGAATTTCGACCCAGTATTGAGGGCTGCCACGTCGATGATGGCTGCCCATATGCCCCCACAAAGTTTGTCATGGCGTTGATGATGATGATGATTATTATTATTTCTACTATAATTATTTATATTATAATAATAATTATAATAACTATAATATCACAAATGCCTTAGTGTACCGGTATGTGACTCCACCAACAGCCATACCATTTAAAGACACCACCAATGATATGTGCCATCCAAACAGCGCTGTCCCTGGTATAGTTATTATTATTATTATTTTATTATTGTTGTTGTTGATGATGTGGTTTTTAGTTATGACCACAAACTCGGATGTGGTAGACAAAAAGTTGCCCGTGGCGTTTAAATTTTGAACAACACTTAGCTTTTTCTGATCGGAAAAAGAAATATTTTCTCATTTGGGATTGTGGAAAAGTTTTTGCCTGTCAAAAAAACGTACCTCAATGAAAGTGTAACTACCTATGAAAATTTGGCATAAAATATTTATCCTATTATAATTAATTAACTTATAATTAATTATTCTTATAGTTAATTATAAGTTATAATTATAATAATTTCAGTTGAGCCCTACATGCCCGAGCCGTACGACCCACTCCATCCTTCCATGTTTTCCAGACCACCCCCGCCCTGGCCTGCCCTTTCTCGTGCCAATAATAATAATAATAATAATAACAATGATAATAATAATAATTGTACTGAAAATGAAGATGGCGGGGAAGAAGAAGATGAAGAGGACGACGGCGATGGTGAGGCAGATGATGACGTCGAGAATAATAATAATAAGAATAAGAATAATAATAATAAGAATAATAATAACGATGACGATGACGACGATGAAAGTAATGGTAATGATGCAAGGGATGGGGAGGTTGAAGAGATTGTCAGTAGGTATGGCAAGGTCTACAGGGCAGGCTCGAATCTCGTCCTCATAAATACAGAATCAGATGGTTTGTTGTCGTTGTTGTTGTTGTCGTCGTTGTTGTTGTGGTTGTTGTTGTTAGAGCTGTGATTACAGTTCTTGTTATCATCATTAAACAATTTATTTTCGAGTTTTTTAGTGTATTCCCTCACTTGCCTATGTAATCATTTGTCAGTTCATTCTTTCTTTTACTTTGTCCTTCCTCCTTTCTCTCATTCACTCACTCACTTATTCATTCACTCTTTCATTCATTCGTGATGCATCCCTCCACCAACGAGTAGTAATATTTCCATCAGCTGCCATGAGAGTTGCACCATTCAACGACAAGGACGAAAGAATCAACAACAACAAAATGGCGACCAACAGCTTCATCATGGCGTCACAATTACTGCAGCAGCAGCAGACGTCACCGTCATCATTCCTAGCTACGTCATCATCGTCATTTTCAAATTCATTGGCGTCTGCTGGTGGCAAAAAAAGAACTGCAAAAATGGCCTACCTAGATACGTCATCATCGTCGTCACTGGAAGCATCATTATCAGTCGCGGCGTGCAGCAATAGTAGTAATGATAACGGCGGTAATGATGATGATAGCGGTTGCGTCATGAAGCCACCGACCACTCATATTGTCAGGAAGTCCGTGCTGGAGCATCCAGGCATGCCAGGCAGATTTCAATCGCAGAACAACACGACGCTAGAGTTGAGGAAAATTCCCCGCGAAGATAACACGATCGCCAATATCAACAACCACTTCTCCAAGTTTGGCATCATCGTCAACTTGCAAATCAACTGGGAGAACGATCCGTGTGCGGCCCTTGTGGCTTTCGCCAGCTCCCAACAGGCTCTGCTCGCCTACAGGTCCAAGGAACCATTCCTCAATAACAGGTTCATCAAAATTTTTTGGCACAATCCGGATAAAACCGCTGCCAACAGCGGCAGCAGCAGCGCCAGCAACAACACAGCTGCTGCTAATAATAGTAACAGTAATTCAATCGGCAAAGGAGGAGCTATGAGTTTTTCGGAGAGTCCGGATGAAATGAAAGTGAAACCGAAAGAACATTTCAAAATTCCAGATAGAAGATTTTTGACCTGGACAGCTCCTAAGAATAAAACTACTACTACCACGAGTGCTACTACTACTACGAATTTGACAACTGCTTCTAGTACTTCAGAAGTCACGGACGCCACCGCAACTACTGCCACCAGTGGGTCGACAAATGAAGACACCAGCATCTCCTCTACTTCTACGAATGAGACTACTGACAGTAGTGCAACTGACTCGCCAGCAACTGAACCGGCAATGACTTCATCAACAGCCATAGCAGCTACTCCAGCTGCTTCAGCAAGTACAAGTGACGCCCACATTGCCGGCAAACCTGTTATACCAGCTCGTAAGCTACTGAAGATAAACAGGAAGTTGCCAGCTGCGAAAGATGCTGTCGATGTCGTTGCTAATAAGGTTGCAGAGGTTAAAAAGATAATGGCAACGAAGCAGGCTTACCTGGACAACTTACTGAAGCTTCAGAATTGGCTGGTGGCCTCTTTGGAGAAGAAGAAGACGCCTGGAGAGAAGGAGAAAGTGAAAAAGGAGCTTCAAGAAAATGTTGAGAAAATAAAAAAAACACAAGAGGAGTTGAAAAAACTGTCAACAATAACCATTATAACTAACAACGACAACAACAGTAAACAACAACAACAACAGCAGCAGCATCATTATCGCTACCCGCCAGCACAACAACATCAAAGAAGCTTCAACAAGAATGTTCACAAGTTCGTTCGGAAGCCACCAATTACTACTGCAGCTACCACTACGGCTTCTACTACTGCACTTACTAATACCGCGATTACTACAACTACTACTTCCACTTCTAATACTACTAACTCAATTGGTGGTAGTTGTAGTAATAACAGTGATGATTCCAATGCTTCTAATAACTTTTTAGCTCAGGTTGGTTTTGATTTTGAGTGTATGTATGTATGTATGTATGAATGAATGAATGAATGTATGTATGTATGTATGAACCCGTTTTGATGAACAAGCCATGGTTAGGCATGCAATCGTTTCCTAGTTCAACTTTTATCTATGTCCCTGGTCTCGCACAGTCAGGTATCTAGCAGCTCCATCAAGAATGCAGAATGCTATGAATGAATGAATGAACGAATGAACGAGTGAATGGATAAACTGACAGATCGACAGATAAATGGATGAATAATAATGAGTGGGTTAATTATTGCGTAGGAAAAACGATAGATGACAAAAGAAATTGAGGATTGTTTCTCCAGATGAGCTGGCAATAAATAGGAAGCATTTTTATACACCATATGTACATTAATTACAGAAAGCCTTATTGGACAGCGAGCTAGATCAGATGACCAATTGGAACAAAGATGTTAATGCAGCCAGTATTTCGGCCACAGTAGCTACAGCAGCTCCTACAGCTACCACAACTGCCCTTAAGCAAAGATTACAAACAGTGAAAAATGAATACATGGCGTTGAAGTACAGCAAAAATTTTTTGACATCATCGCCCAAAGGACCAACCCAACAACAACAACAACATCATCATCACTACGATTTCCCCAAAGATAATAAATATCACAAAATGAAAATGATGATGACGACTCGCAAGGTTGATAGGAGGACCAGGCAGTTGTTGGTCACGAAATTGCCACCAGGTGAGGAGAAAGAGTCCATCGTCAATCATATGAAGGTCTGTTTGATTGTTTGATTGACTGATCGACTGATTGGCTGAGACTGATCAGTAAATAAATTACCTACCCACTTCTTCCTTCAAATCAGGGCTTCGGTGAGGTAGAGAAAATCATACTGGACGACAAAATCCCATTCCTGCTGGTCACCTACAAATACAGGGCTGGGGCTGAGAAGGCGATGAGAGAGGGCAGTCAGTACAAGGGCACTAACCTGAAAATAACCTGGCACGACCCCACAACAACAACAACAAGCAACAAAGACAACAATAATAGTAATAGTAGTAATAATAATAATAATAATAATAATGGGACATCACAGTCATCTTCATCTTCGTCGCTATCTTCCACTTCGCATTTGTTGAACGATGGCTCGAAGCTCGAATTCAGTTTTTCTAATTTCGAAAATAATAATAACAATAACAACGATAATAATAATAATAACAATAATGATAATATTAATGAGAATGATGATGATGAGGATGATTTTGATGTAGGGGGCGGATTTAACTATGGACAGCGCTGGAATTATACGGAGGTTCGTAGTTTTTATCGTTATTCTTGTTCTCAGTTTATACATAATACACAGACGCGCACACACACACACACATACACTCATACACACATACATACAAACACACATTACATACAGACTGATGAACTTGATGAAAATGCTCTTCTCGGGATTGAAGATGAGGATGAAGAAGAGGACGACGACGACGACGATGATGGCCGGTCTTGGAGAAGATGATGATGATGATCATGGGGATGATGATGATGCTTGTCCTGATAATGATTATATGTTCATGAAGAATTTTGTGGCTTCAGAAAATAGCAATGATGATGAACATGTTAAATATGGTTATATATATTTTGCATTATAATTATATATAAATATGTTGTTTTTCATAGATTTGCTCTATAATTTTTCATATTCTTATCTAATTGTTTGTTAGAATAAAATTTGTTTGTTAATTATTTTTCAATATATCTAAATAATAATAATAATGATTATTATTATTATTATGATGATTATTATTGTTTGTCTTCAGCAGCTGAGTAATTGGATTATTAGTTTTTTTTAATTTACTGGTTCATTCATTCATTCGTTCATTCATTCATGTATTCATTCATTCGTTCATTCATTCAATTCATTCATTCATCCATTTTTTTTCAAAATTTTTGCGTCAACTACAATTCCAGCAGGAATAGTATTTGTGATCATAACAAAAATTAATTATACATTCATTCGGGGTAGTATTAATAATAATAATAACAATAATAATAATAACAATACTAAAAATAATAATAACAATAATAATAATAATAATATTGAGAAATTGTAACTGAAATGGTGATGATGACGACGACGAAGAAGATAACGATTATTATTTGTAACACATTATTGGTCCGTAGTGGTAGTAGTAGTACATATCAGAATATGCTATGGTTATATAAATCAATATAGAATGTTTATATATATATATATTTGTATATATATATATGTGTGTGCGTGTGTGTGTGATGTATTGATTCATACATGATATGGAATAATGTATAGCTTAATACGATGTCTATTCATCATTCATAGTGATATTTGCATGGTGAATATGATGATGGAGTTTTTTTTCTGTAAGTTTTTGGGAACAAACAAGGGAATAAACATTGTTCTGGATTGTTGGTTTTCGTTTGTTTCATTTAAAATGATAAAAGTTATAAATTAGTGAATGATTAGTAAGAATAATCATTATTAATTAATAATAAAAATAATTAATTATTATTAATTAATGATTATGATTAATCATAAGTGAATGATTAGTAAAAATAAATGGTAGAACTGATGAGAGGGAATTCAAATATAAAACAAGTGAGCTTGAATAACTGAGCTGCAGTATCAAAATATGATAGAAACAAGTTAAGGGGTCGGAAAAATTTAAATTGTTATTAATTATAGGTAATGTGATTGATGTAACTGTTGTTGTTGTCGTTGTTGATAATGTAGCTGTTGTTGTTGTTGTTACGGTGGATAAACCATGAAAAATTTGAAATTAAAATGTGAAATACAGTAAAGTTCGTAATAAGATTCAATTTTAAACGCTAAAAAATATCATTCCTTCATAATAATGGCTAAAAATAATTTTTTCCAACTGGTGTAAATAATTTTTTAAGGATTTTGAATGAATAAATAACCGTATTGTATTCTGTAAATAATATGCGCATAAATGACTAGAGATGTAAAGATCTTCTTTACAAAGTACGTAATTTTTTTCATCAGATGTACATACATCATATAAACGTGCGTCAGAAACACACACACATACATACATACATACACACACACACATACATACACACACACACATACATACATACACACACACACATACATACACACCTATCAGATCACTAAAAAGATTGAAACCGTTAAAACTGTCAAAAAATTAAAATGTATCTTCTTCCAGATCCAGGCCTCCCCATGGTTTCTGGGACTTCTTCCTATTCCAAGTTAGTGTGTAGGCCTTCGGGTCCATGTTAAAGTAAGATCCCGGAAGTTGAGTGACGTAATCATCGTACTCGAAATCATTATCGGCGTCGTCGTCGTTATCCGCGATGACGTCATCGTCGTCGTCGTCCGGGAAGAGTTTTGTGGCGTTGCTTACGTCGTCATTGCTGTTTTTGTAGTTGGAAACGTGGCGATCCGGTATTTTTTCGTAAATGGAATCGGTTTCGGTATCATCTTGTAGCATCTTTATGCTGCGTATTTCGGCTTTCCGTACTTCGTAAGGCGATCTGAAATGGGCGGCTTGGAAGTATTTTTGATGTGGCAATGGAGTTTTTTGTTTTTGCTGCTGTTGCTGCTGCTGCTGTTGTTGTTGCTGCTGCTGCTGTTGCCGTGTTTGCTGTTTTTCTAACTTTTCAGCAATTTGGTCTGCCGCCGGTAGCGAATCCATCCCCTCAGCTGGTGGTCTGCTGCCTGCAAAAAATGAATCGTCCAGGTTTATGTTTTCAAA